TGGCTGGTATAATTTGTTAATTTAATCTAGTTATTTATTTATTTTCACTTTTAATTTGTTGTGTTCCTAGAGACTATGGTTTGTGGATGCATCAAGTAACTGAAAATATGTTATCACAGCTGTTGTGTTACAGCATAAACAAGGAATGAGAGAACAGTGGCTTGTTATTTTTAATACATCGTAATTTTTAAATATATTGGATTTTAAATATTCCATTAACATAAATGCTAATAAATCCTTTCTAGGCTGTAATGCAGATGAACAGGGTATATAATATTTGAGTTTACCAGTAGAAATACTGATATACTATTCTGGTTCATATCATCAACTCTATATTATCTGTCCAGTCTCTGGTACATATTTTTTTCTTAGTCACCACCATTCTAGTGGTTGAATTGGCAAGCTTGCCATTCCTCATCTCCACTCTTATCTGCTACTGTACAGCTAGATCCTGCTCCTAGCTGTGAATCAGATTGTGTCTGTCCTGTCACCCTTCTCTGCCCATACTCTGAAATAACTGGTTTAGGACTGTCACCTCATATCTGCCTTTTATTTTTATGCATTTCCTATTTGAATGGGTTTCTTCTTCTTGATCTCTACATTCTAGTTCTGCCTATTAAAATAGGGGGAGGTCATCTGATTATCTTATTTTCTTTCAGTCCCCACCACACTGCCCACAAAGCATTCCTAGTTTTTCTTATCCTACAAAGCAGTGTACATTCCATATAGATGAAGGTACAAAATATGCAGCACTGTATGGAACTCAGCTATTGAATGAATAATTTGCAGAGAGCTGTTTCTAGTATATGGTGATTTAAAGACATTGTGAGTGACGTACCAAGCTAAATTCTACTGCCCTTGGCATTCATGCAAAATAATAATGCAAAATAATTCTGTTAATTACAGTACCCTGTGGGTAAGGAGGGCTGAAGTTTGCCCACTGAATTATTTTCACAAAGTAGGTTTAAAGACAGTCTCTTCTAACTCAAAATCAGGAGTCTGTGACAGGAGCCCCATCTACGCTGTTAACTGACTTCAGTGTGGCATGGGTTTTATTATTTTGTCTTGCATGTGCCGTGTTCCTACAGCAACTTGAGCTTCAGTTCAGAAAGGAGTTTGCTTTGTCAGTCTGTATTTTGAGATAAGTACTTGGAAAGGGAGTACTTTGGGCCAAATGGTCTTTCTCTGTTCTGATGCTATTTCTTGTTCTTAGTCTCAATTACAGTAGGTCCTATGGAGATAACTGTGTGCAAAGGATCACAGTAACAGTGGGATAATGATGAATGTGATGGCTGCCAGTAGTAAAAGCCCCAGGTGATGGGGATTTGTGCAGTGTGCTGGTGTTTTGTTTCTAGATGGGAACATTTATGCCAGTGATTAACAGGGACTCAGGTGCTTTACTATAACTGGTTATAACCTCCAAATTATTAGCAAAAGAGTGCAATACATAAGCTGTGTTATAATTAAAACTACTTTTGTACATTTTTAGCTTTAAAACACAAAATATTAATGTTAATGTTTTCTTCATCATTAGTTTAATAGTTTGCTACATTCTAGTTTGCAATTACCTTTTCTTTTTTTTTTTTCCTATGTGAGACATGTAAAGTCATAAATGAGTTACAAAAGTGTTGTTCCTAAATTGAAGGGATGGATGTGTTGTTGTTCAGTAACTTAGGGAGCTCTTTTCCAGCAGTAGCAGTGGGACATCAGTTTTTTTCATGAGGTGCATCATTTCATCATAAAGGACTTAATCCCTAAGTACGATAGAGCTTCCAATGTTGGCTTCAATTTACTCTGGAAAAGCATTTTCAGTGTTGGCTGAAAGCTCAGTAAGAGGGAAAAAAAAAACAGAATGATGCATCAAATTACAACATAATTTACTGAAAGTGGAGTTATGCAATGTATTACGCTTTATATCTTTTACAGTTATGTTACTGCTTTTAAGAACGGAAAACATCAACCTAAATGCTCTTATTATTTTCCTTTAAAGTAAAGCTTTTTAATTGAACCACATTAACGAAGGTAAGTGATCTATGACTGTTCTAACAGTTTTTGGTTTGTTTGTTTAAGGCCTTAAAATTCACCACAGGATACATAAGCATCTGTTTTATTACCTTGACAGAAAGTGGCTTATGCTTGATCTCTACTCACTTTGAAAACTTGGTGTTGTCAAACTGTCCACATGTCCCTGGTAGTGCTGCTATGTCCCATCTTTCTTACCTCTGGAGGAATGCTTGCCACCACTGCATGCAGATTAAGGAGTGTCTTCCACGACCCTGCTAGGTATGCCAAAGGACTAACTGGAAACAGAGGTTCCAGCTGCTCTGTAGCTCCTGATTCAGGGAACATCCAGCTCTGCATATATCCTAGATGGATATGCCCAGTAATAAGTAAGGAAGTGCTCTGTTTTAACATTGCTTTGCCTCACAGGATGAGGTAAAGATTAACAATGTAGTGCTCGGGAGGTACCGGGTTAGTAAAAAGATTGCTGTTAATGAACCCATGCACAAACTAGCTGATTGTCCCTTCTCTACAATATGTGGTAAGTCATGAGGCTGTGTGGTAAGTGATAAGAAAGCAAAGTATAGAAGAGATGCTCATCAATACTGTGTCTTGCCTTCTGTTTTCTCAATGTTTTCTCAAAACCCATGGAGAAAATAAACAACAAATTCACTGTGCAATGAGATGTCATTATTTTTGTATATGCAGAAAGGGGTAAGTTAAAGTTTAAACATTCAGGTACTTCATTTTGTCATGCTCTTTATTTTTTCTACTCTTTGCGCTTGTCCATGGCTTCTTATGTGCTATGTATGGCACATGTGCTGTCCAGAATGCTACTGGGCATCTGTGCAAAATTGCAGACACTTAAATACAGCTGCTGGAGTTCTGCCAGCTTCTATTATTGGTCACATGTGGTGAATGACAGCAGCAGAAAAAGCACTTCACGCAATCTTCCATTGATTCATACATTTGTGTACTCAATGTTTCTCTTTAAATACTAACCTTTTGTTGACTGGAACCCAAGTGTCCTCCTAGAATTATGTATCTATAGTCAAAACCAAGAGCATCCTGAAAATTAGTGATTTATTCCTGTGCTCCTTTTTAATGTTCCAGCTGTAACACCCTGGCTGTGACGCTAATGCTTGTACACATGTCGTGGTGAAATACGAAATTGCTGTAAGATGTCCTGTCAGTTTAAGTTGTTTAAATTAGCTGGTAATAGTGACTGCATAGTGAGCTGATCCCAGAAAACCAGAGAGTATAAACCCAATCAAGTTAAAGAACCTTTCTTGCATTGCATGCTCAGCAATATAGCGCAGCATATATATGAACATGTGTGCCTACAAGCCCCAAAATTTTAACAGCAAGTGCTTAAAAATCTAAGTTTGTAATGAGGTTTGAGTATTGTTCCTTTATTAGGTATGAGAAGAAAATTGTGCCTGCTTTTAAAATGAACCAAAATAAAAAGTATGGGTAGGGAGGAATACTTGACAATTCTGCTGCCACCTTTTGATCGTATCCTGTAGTTGCAAGTAGTAGTTGAAAATCATTTAACCCAAATTATCGCAGCTGAAAAAAGGACGTTTTTACCTCTAAAAAGGAATAATTATTTAATGTTGATGCTAGAATTTTAACTGAGCAGGTGGTCATCTTAGACACTTCACTTGATGTATGGCTTTATTAAGCAGTTTTGCTCAATCTGTGTAATGACTTATACATTGAAAATGAAAGGACTGATAAAAATAATAGGTAATGGATTGCAGCTATGTTCTATTCATTTTCTCAACCTATAAGGTCTTTACTGTAACACATTTTTGTTAAATGTAACTTAAATCACTGTTGCCCACCTTCACTGTCATTAAACAGATCTGGCTTCTTGTTCTCTATCTGCTTTCCTTGAGATTTCTTGGAGATTCCTCAAGTGGCTGCAAGTCATATCTTGGGACTGAAATGTCAGCATCTCCTCTCATATTATACGTTAACACTCAATGGGTCAAGTTTGCATATGTGTGTCAGATTGTGTGATGGGGCTCCTTCTTGAATGGAAACCCATCCCAGCATGGGGGGGATGTCTCCTTTTTAAGCAGATGGCACGTGTATATCTGAGCATACAATAATATGAGGTAACATGGTAAAACATTAGACAGTCCACCCATACCAGAAATTTAAGCATCCAGTGGCGTAGGTTGTTCATGAGAGCATGCTGTGAGGTTGGACATAGTGCCTGCTGAAGTATGGGTTGGTTTTTGGTTTGGTTGGTTTTTGTTTGGTCTTCTTTTGCAAGTTTTATAAATAACAGATTCTGAGCTTGAACTTGATGACAGGTGTGGCTGCCCGGTCTGGTACTCATTTCTTGGTTAATCTTGTGCTTTCCTAAATTACCAACCCATAAAGAGATAGTGTGCTGTGCCAGAAAGATGTTTTAGAATTAGTTATTCAGGGACTAAGTAGTTGAAAGCTATGGTAATGAAGTGAAGGCCGTATAAATAACTACTATATTAAAAGAGAAATAATTACAAAATGTTCATGCTAAGATTGTTTTGAATACTGGTATCTGTTGCCAGTAGGGAGGGATTAAATTATTATGCAATAAAGATAATTTTGTAACAAATGAACAATCTTCTTCACAGTGAAATTCCTTAATATGAGAATATGGATCTATGCTTCACTGAATTACAGGCCAAACTGTCTATTGCCATGGAAGGCCGTTATCCTGGCAGTACAGATGTTTGAACCTGCAAGAGAGCTACTGTATCTTTATTAAGTTTAAAATGATAAAAGTTTAAATCAACGAAGGGGGCTTAGTGCTTAGAGTACAGGGTGGCTGGGAGCCACAGCTGTTTCAGAACAGTATGGTTACGGGAGATGTGTGAGGAGGCTGCCAACAAGGAACAGAAGCTGCCTGAAAGAGGGACCTGTGTTTGAGCTGCTGACCCGTGCTTGAAATGTTTGTTAGTATGTTAACAAGCAGAAATGTATATTTCCCAATTCCTGCTAAGAATGGGAAATAAGAACCTTGGAGCGCTGGAAGTTATTTGTCAGGAGCTATTAGCAAGAGCTGAGACTTTATAGGAAAAATCATTTGAGAGGGGAGCCATGGTCCCCCCTGCAGGCAGGCCAATTATGGAACACTGCAGAAGCAGCAGCAATACAGGAATGGTTGCACAGAGCCCAGAATTCATCACTGTGGTTAGCATTACGGGTAAGTGGTATGGTTATTAACAAACGTTAAACTCTTGTCAAAGCTAAGGATTGCCAGCAGGAGTGAAATGCAGGAAGGAAGCTCTGGAACAAGATGGAGCAATCTGGGAGAGAGAGATGGAATCTAGTTTAGATGGCCTTTTGTTGTCAGGGCACATTTTCACCACAGTAGATGAGAAATCAGGTTTGTAATTCCCCATAAAGGGTGATGCACCTGATTGCTAATAGTCCAAGCAAAACCAGAATGCACAGAAGTGTTCAATTATTTCATAAGACTGCCTCATGAACAGATTTTGCTCATTTGCAGCTGAGTTGTTTGTGCTTCTGTTTATCTCAGATACCCATTACACTTTCATTTACGCCGTGACAGTGGCTGTATCTGGCTATATCTGATTCTCACCAACTCAAGGCAATTAAAACTGCTGGCCTAGTGTCACTTGTCTCAAAACATGCTTAAGCATAGTATGATTACTACATCTTTGCTCTAAGACTGAAATGTGTGTTTCATGGCTTTGGCTACAGAATGGGATAAGTTGATTATAAAAGGGCTAGATGAGTGAATCTGTTGAAAATGAGACAAAAAATGAAGTGTGGTATTATCATCTAGCTGTAATGATACCTGCACAAAGACTTCTAGAGATGATATAATGTGGAAGTCATTACGGTTAAGTGTTGACCCAAGTAATGTACATGCACCCAGTTTCAGCACAACTTCACCGTTCAGTAGTTGTCCCCAGTAACAGAACAAATGCCTTAAAAGACAGCAAGGTAAGCTGTTAAAATTCATAGCTACCAATAACTAGTCTGTGAATGCACAGCGACATGTCATTTGTCAGAGTGAAGAAAAATTGGGATTTGAATGATGACACTAAGATGTGAATGTATAGAGCCTGGATTTCTTTATTTTTATTGAAGATCATGTGTCCCTTAAGGAAGAAATGAATGACACAGTCCAGAAATGTTGACTGCTTCAAGGTGAAGCAGGTCAGCTAGGAGAAACCCTGATCATGAGCAAGTCTGTCAACTGCGGAGAAGCACCTTTCCACCTCCTCCTTCTGTACTCCGTATTTATGGTTTGGCTTATGCCATGTTGTTAATTTCCTGTTGTTGTTGACCCCTTTCTCACATATTATTTGCTTGTGGCAGGCCTCAATGGGCTCAAATCAGTGTGTGTAGGGAGACCACAATATGCTTAGACCCTATCACAGAGCATAACTGTGAGGCATGCCAGCAGGATAATAGCATCCCCAAAAAATTGCCTGCAGCACTTGAGCTGCAAGATGAGATGTAATTTCCAGAAGTCCATGTCCTAAAAAGAAACGTTTCTTTTTCTCATCTGCTTCAATATGACAGTTGACTGTAGGCAAGAAATGTGCAGTTTTAATCATTATGTGTGGTAGCGGTGAACCTTGTTCATTTCTGGTGCTAAATATATATATTGCTTTTTAAGTGATTGCCATTGGTGCTGGTCCAGCTTTGGTGCCTACGCCAACTGCTTTGCTATTGCTAAGAAAGGTAGAAGTCATTAACCTGATACAGCAAGAGTCGAGAAGGTGACATAACTGTTGACATCTCCTAATTTTATAGCTACAACTATGAATAAATTGAACTTCTCAGAATCCTTCCTTGATGTCCCTATTCAGCAAAAGCTGTGGGAATATGGTTGACTTTGTAAGCATGCATTTAAATTCCAGTGTGATTCAAATATATTTGTGTGTTCTACTGTGCAGAGTTGGATCGAAAAGTGACTGTGTCTTTTTTGTTATGCAGGCTCAATTTAGCAAAGCACTTAAACATGCCAAACAGCAAGCATCTGGCCTGTGCTTGCAGTTCTTTAATAGCTGCCCCAAATGAATGACTTGGGGCATTCCAGAACTCTGGCATTCAATACAAACTTCAGATACCAGTGAGACAAGGCTGGATTGACTGCAAAACAGCATGGACTATAATTGTCTAGCTTTAATGGAACAATCACAACTCTTATCTGTGGCAGACAAAGGTTTACTTTTTTGTTTAATGGGGAAAAGTGTCCACTGAAATATCTCAGTCATGGTATTTCTTAGTTGCAACCCTTCATTCTCTCAACATACTCATAAAAATGAACCGAACAGGCATAAATACCCTGCCTGAACCAACTTTCTTTGAATCTGTTCTTTTCTGTTCCAGCTCTGTATTTAATGCCAACATCTTATTTCTGGTTGTTTAATGTTATCACATATAACTTGTTTTTTCTACGTGCATTTTTTACCTTATGGACTAACATTAGGAATGTTTCTCCCATGTGCTCATTAATGAAAGCTCTCACAGCCTTCACATTCAAATAATTTAGTTCAGTAGGTGATGACTCAGAGATATAAACCACTTGTTTCTTTTTTTGCAGTTACCCAGCTGCCAGGCCATAATAGGATCATTCCCTTGGATGCTTCATCTTAGCTTATACCCCACTTTGGCAAAATAGCCATATCACTTACACAATACTTAATTTCTGGGAACGCAGCTACTACATGAGTCATTATAAACTAAAAGTCTTGCTTTAGGATGTCTATAACTGTTGCCAAATCTTTTTTGGGGGGGATATGAGAGCGTGTGTGTAATCCAGTGAGCTGATCTGTCAGCTGCTTCAGACGGTAAAATTACCTCAAGGTTAAGGCTGAGCTCTCAATGCCTTTCTTCAGCATGGAGTTTCTTTTTATTATGAAGTATTCGAAAAGGCTCACAATGGAAATCTCTTATGACTGAATTGTAGTTGAGAGCAGGGTAGCTCAGCCTCAGTCAGATCACATGTTCCAAATCATGTATGTCATACTTGCCATTACTCTCCTCCACAGGCTCCGGCTTGTAAGCAATAACTAACTTACTAAGTTCATAGTAATAGAGAGACGTTACTCAACTTGGGAAAGCATTGAAAGGTGCATCACTCTCCACTGTGTCACCCTCTTTAAGAATCTTCTCCCAAGTTCACCCCTGCTCAGTCTCTCTGCTCCATTACCAAGAAAGCAGGAGGTCTCAGCTGAATCCTGGAAATTGCATGCTTGTTCCCAAGGGCCCAATCTCCTGTTACATAGCCTCATTTGGAATTGCCAAAGACAAAAGAACGTATTCTGAGGCAACTGTGTCCCAGTGCCTACTGCCTCATTAGGGGAAGGCAGAAATTTGTAATGCAAGCTGCCTCTCTAATGTCCCTGAGTAGTGTAATAGGACTCTGCTGAAGCTTTGACTTGTCGCTTTTTCAGGGTGAGATTTGATATACTTGCTGGATGAGATGTGATCAAAATATTTTGTTTCTCTTACTCTAGTAATCTAATTGTCGAAATGTAACATGACCCCTTTTCCTGGAGCATCACATCCAAATTGGCATAATCTGTCTGAATAGAAACTACCAGTTATTTCACACAAAGCACAAAGAACTTATGACTCCAATTTTATTGATTAGGGAGATAAATATCTACTTGAATACATCCTTGGACATTTTGTTTAAATTATATGCTTGGCAAGCCAGAATTGTATTGTTACCGCATTAAACTACTTATTAACCCATAGAGATATGTGGAGGTATTTGGACATTATTCTCAAATATCTCTGTGAATTTTTACATGTAAAAAAGACCAGAGATTTGTGAATTGCAAATCTATATGATCTGCCTGATGTTTGTAAATGAAAAACAAGATAAATGGCAGTCTCCTGGATTCTTTAATTTTCTGTTGTAGGTTGCATGAAGAATACATTCAAATACAAAAGAAATATGAGGGGGAAGGATGAATGATTTTAGTATCTTTAAAATGACTACAGTGGTGGTAATTTTGCACGGTGTCTATTTAACTAGATATGATAAATGCCATGGGTAATGAGTAACCTGCTGGTGGTTTGCATCCACAGGCCACTGGTTCAAAAAAGTGACTGCCCGCTTTTCTTTTTTGCACCAACCAGTTCTTGACTTCTGTCTTATAATTTGGGGGTTGGACTAGATGATTTCCAGAGGTCACTTCCAACCCAAATGATTCTATGAATCTTTGATTTGGGACCTTTAGTTTTCATTTGTTCTTCCCAATAGTGCCTTCCATGCTATTGTATGAATGGAAAACACTGCAGAAGTATTTGCAAGATTTTTCCTATTTTTGTCCTTCATTTTGTACCACTATCAAGGTTAAAATCCCAATTTCATCAGGCCAGGATAATATTTTACCATGCATGACTTAGCAAGGTGGATGTGCTTCCTAGGGAGCTGTGCATGAAACTAGCAGTGCTAGCTGTGGTCTTATATATTTTTATGATGGCTAATTCAGGAACTGGTTATTTGTTTGGCTAAAGAAGGAGAGGGCTTAGGACAGGCTGCTTCACTAGCAGATCATGCTGTTGCTGTCATAAATAAACTCAATGTGTAAACTTTACATGTATAATCTTGTAAATAAAGGCTGTAGCACAGTGGATAGATATAAGGGAGCTCAACTGATTTCTTCCCTTTTTAGTCTTCAACCTTTTCAAGTTGATGCTTTTAGGAAATGCATCTAAATGAAAAGCCTGTTAATACTTATGTTTGCAAAACACTGGTTTCAGGTATGAAGGCTCATGATTTTCTCTTTGTGTCAGAGAGACTGCAATGTCAATATTAGTTTGCAGTATAGTTACCCCACTGAAGCGGCTGTGTTACCCACCTCTTCCAGCAGTAAAGTGTCCCCTTGTTTAGAGATAGCAGATGCAGTAGAATGCCACTGCAGGGAATGGCCTCAGAGACTTGATCTAACAAAGCCTGGATCAGGACAATAAGATGGCTTTTCCTGGGAATAGCTGAAGGCAGGGCTCCCTGTTAAAACCGTCTATACAAGGAGCTACATAGAGAAGGGAAAGCATCACCATGTAGACTCAGGGGGTCTATAGTGGTTAGTAAGTTCATACCTGGAACGCATATGCACTCTCCTGCTTAACATGAAGGATTAGAGTTAACACTACCTTTAGATGGTGGAGAACGTCAGTCACTAGAATGAGGTAACTGGAATCTGGCGTTCCCTTGATTTATTAGAGGTTTTTTGGTACTATGATATTAACAAGTAAATTATCATTGCTGTGTTGATGGAAGTCTGTGAGCAGTCAGCATCACTGATGACCTACAGTTTCAGGGCATAAATACATGCTTGAAATAAAAATTGGTACCTACAGGGTGTGATACTAAAATTATGTTGGGTACCAGTGGCATCGTGTTTGTACTTTACTCACAGAAAGTAGTGAAGAAAATCAGGACTACCTATATATTAGCAAAAGGTGAAATCTTGATCAGCTGTTTCTCTTTTTATAGGGGTGACTTAGGAATAAGAAATAATTGGGAGAATTTGTAGTTAATAGGGCTGGAGATATGGGTAAAAGAGCTATGGGAATGCATTGGAGAAGTATCTATGGATGGGTAGTTCAGGTGTCAGAGTACTTTAGTTGTTACCGTACGTTCAAGATGCACCATATGCTTTCGTTAGCTGTTTAGCCAAGTATGCTGGCACAGCTTTAAAAAGAACATGAATATATGGATAGGGGTTCATGTGTAGTTTGTAGGGGGGCTTACAGCAGCTCCTGCAGCATCCTGTGGCTCATGTGCATGTCAGATGTGTGAAAACTTCTCCCATTAAGGAGGTGTGGATGCCTCTGTGCAACAAACTAGTTTGACCTCACTCTGGCTGTTTGCTGCCCAGTCCTAATGCGGGGCTTAAAGCAGCGTGGATCAGCTTCTGCTTGCTCTCTGTATCCTGGGTATACTTCCTCACCTGTTTCTTTGATAGTTTTACATTCTCATAAAAACAGCAGCACCTTAAAGCAACTTCCCCTTCTAAAGCAGGAAAAGTGTGCTATGGAAGGAAGTGTGTTGTAAAAGAAACTGAGCAATACTTCCTCATAACACTGTTGTGGTTTAACCCCAGTGAGCAGCTATGCCCCATACAGCCACTCGCACACTCCCCCCTGGTGGAGTAGGGGAGAGAATCAGAAGGGTAGGGTAAAAGTAAGAAACCTGTGGGTTGAGGTATGAACAGTTTAATAATTGAAATAACATAAACCACTAACAATAAATTGTAATGAAAAGGAAAATAAAAAAAAGAGAGCAAAATAAAACCCAAGAAAAACAAGTGATACAAATGAAAAACCATTGCTCACCACTGACCGATGCCCAAGCAGCCAGCTTTCCCCCCAGTTTATGTATCAAGCATAACAACATGCGGTATGGAATATATCCCTTTGGTCATTTGGGGTCAGCAGTCCTGACTGTGTCCCCTTCCAGCCTCCTTGCTGGTGGAGCAGCATAAGAAGCTGGAAAGTCCTTGACTTAGTGTGAACAGTGCAACAGCTAAAACATCAGTGTGTTATCAACACTATTCTCATCCTAAATCCAAAACCCAGCACTGTACCAGCTACTAGGAAGAAAACCCTATCCCAGCTGAAACCAGCACAAACAGCAGCACTAATGGTTCTGCTATAATTAAGAAAATAGCATAGACTGTTGTTGTACAATAATAATCTCCTGCTGCATAAGCGTTGAAGAATTTATTTTCTAAGCAGGAGACATTGATCCCGTGGCAGTATTCTGTTGCCATAACTTTGTTTACATCATGAAGGAAGAAATGATAGATGTAATCATCTAATTTATGGTGCTAAGAAGTGTCAATTGCTCACTCCACCGCTATTGATCTAAGGCGTTCCAACTGCCTCATGCATCAGACCTTTGAAAGTTTCAGATAATTGGAGATCAAAGTAACAGTGCAGTTTGGTGTGCATGATGTTTCCCAATTGCAATTGTCTCATTGATTGCACTTTTTAATGAAGGGATATGACTAATGAGTAAGTAGTCATTATGAAGTTACAGTTTTTAACAGGCATCATGTGGTGGAAGAAACCAGCTTCAAAAAAAAGATCAGTAAAATATTGGGGGTTTTGACTGCAATCATGCCGATAGTTCTTTTAAATTGGATGCGCTTCGGTTCTCTTCAGTTGAAAATATCTACCTGGAAAGATTAATTTTCCGAAATAGAATCTTGAGTTAATTTAATTTTTTTACAGCTTAGTTTGCATATATGTTTTTATACATATAATGAAGGGCTTCTCTTGAGGCTGTATAGATATCCATGATCTATCAAGAAGGAAAAAATAATTAACATTAAAA